ATTACAGCTTTAACATATTCAGTAACACACTATACTTTCCTCTCATGTCTTATGCTTATGAATAACCTCATAAAATTTTCTAATTTTACCTTTTTAAAAAAATTTATTATTTTTATTTTATGTGTATGAGTATATTGCCTGAATGACTGTAAATGTACCTGTGTCATGCAGTGCCTGCAGAGGCCAGAAGAGAGTGTCTGATTCCCCTGGAACTGGAGTTCTGGACAGTTGTTATCTGCCATGTGGGTGCTGGGTCTTCTGCAAGAGCAGCTGGTGCTCTTAACTGCTGAGTCATCTCTCCAGTCCCCTCTAATTTTACCTTTAAAAGTCTCTCAAATTTATCCAATGCCTTCCACAAGCTTTTATTCTACCTCAAGTTTTGATAGCCTGGACTCTCCACAAACATTGATCAGCCTCTACAAGCACCTACTGCAAACAATTTAAAATCTAAATATGATATCATTTCTCTTTGCTCAAAATTCAAAGGCTCTTTAATGATTAAACCTTAACATCTAAATTTCTATATATCACAAAAAAAGATCCCCCATGACCTGGTTCTACCTCCCATTAGTCCCCTCTACACACTCACAATTCTCCAAGTATTATATGCTTCAAATTTCAGTCACTTTGCATATACTGTTCCCTCTGTCTCAAATGATTGCTGGTCTAGTAGGTGAGTTCTTACCTCTTCTTTAAGATGAAACTGAGTGCTATCTTACTTGCAAAACATTCTGGCTTCCCAAGTTAAACTGTCTGTTCTCTCCTTGGTGTCCCCATAGAACCTTAAACTCCATCTCTATCATGATTTTATCACCATGCATAGAATTTATTTATATGTTTGTCTCCCCACCAAACCAGGAGCAATTCAAGGGCAAATATTTGTCTTATTCATCCCATATCCCTAGCATCCATTCCCTATTAGGCACTCAGTTTTTATTCCAATACACTGAAGCATATTTGTATAGTACCCACGTGTACACACACACACACACACACACACACCAGTATTACAAATAGGCAAATCTACAGTGGCTCATTTCAAAGCCATCTGCTAAAAACTGTTAAATGACTTTATTTGTAATAGCTTTTCTTCCTAAATATTGCTTAACCCAGACCAATACTGTATTAAAGCCTATCTGCATGTACTGAGTCCCCAACTACTTAATAACAGAGAAAATAACCTAAAGTTAAATACTAGTGGCAGATAATAGACCTCTGTTAAAATGCCTGAGAAACTACTGACCCTACATTCTCTCGTCAACACCATCCCCCAAAATTTCCACATTCTTACTGTATACCCACTCTCCTGGCTCCACCAAGGCATTAGAGCTGCCTCTGGGTCCTCTCCAACTCCTCTCAAAACTCAATGAAAAACTTCAACATTTAAGACCCAAGAATTTTCAAAGGTCAGAGACTCCTCCATATCTATGATGTCAATCCCAAGGAATCCAGACAGGGAGACAAAAGAGGGACAGGAGCCCACAATATTTCACACAATTCTTGATTAGGTGGGAGGGAGCAATGAATGATTGTTTTTGGCAGACTGATTTTGATTAATATAGGTCCTTCCAACATATGAAAATATAGCTTTCTTAGATGATATGGCCAACTTCTACTCCCAACGGACCTATTAACATTAAATAGAAGAAAAGTGAAAGTCATGTGTTAAAGTTTGGGACATTATTTCTTTTAAATTTCCAAACAACTGTAAGAGGACTATATCACTAACTTCATGTTACACAGAAGTTAGGTGGCAGACTCAATGCTACACAGATACTAAGAAGCAGAACCAAAACATCTGTAAGCCAATGCGCCCAACTCCAGAGACCACATGCTTACATTTGCTGGATACCACACTTCATCTGGAGAGGACTGAAAACCACAGTAGTCCATTCATACAGAAGCCCACTCTCACTGCTTGAATCCTCTCACCACCACACTGAAGAATTGACTCTGGATTCAAATACATCCTGTTTCAAATCCCTGATCTACTACTTAAAAGCGATGTAATAATGGGTAATACAATCATTTTTCGTGCCTCAGTTTCTTCATGTATAAAATGGGATATATATAGTTATGATCTCTTGTTAGCATTAAATAATGTATACAAGCTTTAGGCTAATACTTGAGAATACATCCTCGAGAAATATCAGCTGCCTACTTTGTACCCAAAACCCTCTCAAAACACTCTTACTCCAACAGTACTCTACACAGCTTCCTCTACCATTCCGTCCAACATGTGCTCTTCCCAAACAAGCTCCTCCAGTTCTGCAGACCTTTTCTTGTCTGTTTCAGGGTTTTGTTTTGCTTTTATTTTATGTGTATGAGTGTATTGCATGCATGTGTGTAAGTGTATCCATGTTGTGTAATGCCCACAGAAGTCAGAAGAGGGTGTCAGATCCCCTGGAACTGGAGTTACAGTTGGTTGTCAGCCACGATGTGGGTACTAGGACCCAAACCCACTTGAAAGAGCAGCAAGTGTTCTTAACCACTGAGCCATCTCTCCAGCCCTTTAGATTTTTTTTTTAATGGTTATGAGTGTTTTGCCTACATGTATGTAAGTGCACCTGGGTTGTGCAATGCCCACAGAGGCCAGAAAAGGGTGTTGAATTCCCTGGAACTGGTTATTAGCTGCCATGTGGGTGCTGGGAACCAAATCTGGGTCCTCTGCTGGAGCAGCCAGTGCTCTTAATCACTGAGGCATCTCTCCAGCCTGAGACTTTATGTGTTTTTGTTTGTTTGTTTGTTTAAAAGGCCAGCAAGGGGGCTGGAGAAATGGCTCAGCAATTAAGAGCACTGGCTGCTCTTGCAAAGGACCCAGGTTCAATTCCCAGCACCCACAGGACACATGCTTTTAATCCCAACACTTGGGAGGCAGAGGCAGGCAGATTTCTGCAATAATGAGGCTAGCCTAGTCTACATAGCAAGTTCCAGGCCAGCTGTAGCTACAGGGAGACCCTGTTTTAACTGCCCACCCCCCGCAAAAGATTCTGATTACTGAATTTATGACACACACACATAAAAAAACACAAAACAAAAACACAACAACAACAAATCAACAGAGGCTAGACTAATAACAAAAGTGTTTCTCTAAAACCAATTCTCTAACCTTTAGTAGCTGGCAACCCTTTGGCCTACTTGATTCCTGATTATTGGTCATTTCTCTGGCAATGATTAAATATCCAGTCATAGGAGAAATCAGAAAGAAGAAAAAGAAAATCAAACTACTGTACTATCTGCACTTAGTTACCCATAGGAAATAAATATTTTGTAAATTTCTTTTGGTAAATTAATGTCCTTCCACATACAGTTACCAATTTTTACACTCTAATACACAAAATTTCCCTTTATAAAATTATATACTTCAGGGAGACACAGTGGTTCACACTTGCAATCTCAGCACTCTAAAGGCTAAGACAAGAAGACTATCTTGAGTTTAAGGCCACCCTAAGCTACATGTCAAGTACAAAATTAGCCAAGGCTACATATTGAGGTCCTATTTCAAACAAACAAAACAACAAATTATATACTTCAGCACAAAAAAAGATTTTTATTACTATTAATACTTTTCCAAAAAAATTCTCCGGCTTACAGTTCATTTTTTCTGGCCATACCTAACCTCATTTGAACTTCTACAGGCTCTTCATGTAAGGCATTCACCTGGCACTTGCCATTATTACATGCTGCCTTACAATTAATTATTTGGATACATCATCTTAACTCCAATTTGACTATCATTTATTCAAAATTTGCCAATGTGGTCTACTATCTACCAGGCACTGACTTAGGGTCTGGAGAGACAAAAGAAGAGGAGCTAGGCTGGGCGTGGTGGGGCACGCTTTAATCCCAGCACTTGAGAGGCAGAGGCAGGCAGACCTTTGTGAGTTTGAGGCCAGCCTGGTCTACATAGTGAGTTCCAGGACAGCTGGGGCTACAAGGAGACCCTGTCTCAAAAAAAAAAAAAAAAAAAAAAAAAAAGGAGACACACTCCTACCTTTAAGG